CTTGCCAGACCCCGGCCCGTTGGTCAAGAGAAAATCACAACGCACAAATCCCATCGCAGTGCTTGCACGTAGGTGTTATACTTTGCTTTGGGGAACTGGGCCTGACCACCTGTCTGGCGGCTATGTTGTCGCCGTCGCTGCCCCGCCGCCGCCTCGTCGCCGCCCATCGTCTGGGCCTGACCTCCGGTCTGGCGGCTACGTTGCCGCCGTCGCCACGCCGCCGCCGGCCCGTGACCAAATAGATCGTCTTCTCTCAAAAAGATTGTGACTATACCGCCTTCCCACCCCCGGTTGTAGCGCCCCCTGGAATATAAATTGTTGGTGGTGTTGCTGCATCTTCATTCTTAATATAAACTCATACCATCCCTGGGAATCCGCTTGTCCCCCCACTCATCCCCGCCAAATCAAATTATGCGTGCGCTCGTCTTTCCAAATTCAGGTCTCTTCAACAATCCATTGCATCACACACGAATGTGAGCCACCGTGGACCCCAACCAAAGTGCGTCTAGCAGTTTACCCTGTGCAAACCACTTGGAGCAATCTATATGGTGTGCTATAGTTTGTGCCATCTTTGCGGTTGAGTATTTGTGGTGCAATCGATGCGTGACGACCAATGTACTGCAGCCTGTATTGTGCTATAGACATTGCCTAATCAATGTTGGGTGATACTTGCGGCGCCACTAAGTTGCGGCCTTCATTGGCCCACGTTCGTTGTGCAATTCGAACATGTAAATACATGTTGTGATCTGCGTTATGCAATATATGCTGGGCAGTCTAGGTGGTGCAATTTATGTGGTGCATTTGATTTTGATCAACTGGGAGTTGTCAGCTCCACCGCTCGCGCAGACATCCCAACCACCCACCCGCAATTTGGCATGCAAAGCCCATGCGGCGGCGACTGCGATGAGTGCTTGGCGTTGGCTGGCGCGTCCCTGCGGCCGCGCCAGCCCGCGAATGCTGCGCGCACAACGGCCAGCTAGTTTGGCGCGACCGACGCGGCCGCGGTGGCGCTGACCGCTGGGCGCTTCCCATCGGGCACTTCAGTGCGAATCGGTGACATGGGCGGGAGCGGTATCATGGCGACGTCGGGAGCGGTAGGCACAATGATGATAATATCGGTGATGGTGACGATGACGTCGATGACGACAGCAAGGCCAACTACGGCGCCACCGATGGTGATCACGCCGATGGCGATGACGGTGTCCTCGCGTTGGTGATGCAGGCTTTGTAATGAGGTCGACACGCGCGCGCGGCCGACGCGCGCCAGTGGCCCGCATGGGTTGGTTTGACAAGGATCGCCCCCCCACCCCAGCACGCGCGCAAGTGCGTGCCAATGACTTCGACATGCGGCGCGAGGGGCCCGTTGGGCGAATTTGATGCCCCATTTGCCGCAAGGGATTCTCGTGGCAGCGCGCGCACAACGGCGTTCGAATGATTCCGACGCGGGTCCTTTTGAAAATCCCCGTTGCGAAACAATTGTGTTTTCCCAAACCCTCCTGCGGTGGGTTCTCGTTTTGTGTAGAACACTGCGGTCTCCAACCTCCTTCTGCCCGCTTCCCTTCTCCTCTCCTCTCCTGAGCGTCTGGTGGCTTGCCTGTGAGGCCTGCGAAATATGAAGCTGGCATACCTTGGGAGCTGCGATCTGCGAGCTGTCGCCACTTTCGAAGGCTGCTGGGGGGGGCAACATAGTGGGCACCCGCCGAGGATTCAGATGAGACCTCGCCATCCCTCGGGGCCTGCGATCAAGGAAACTGCCGCCACTTTGGAGGGGTGCTGGGGGGCCAGCATAGTGGGCACCTGCCGCGGATTCAGATTAGACCTCGACATCCCTCGGGGCTGCGACCTGCGAAACTGTCGCCACTTTCGAGGGCTGCTGGGGGGTCCAGCGGAATGAAGCACCACCCCGGCTCAGATTAGACCCCGCCAGATCCTGGGGGACTGCGATCTGGGAAACTGTCGCCACTTTCGAGCTCTGCTGGAGGGGCCAGCACAGTGGGTACCCGCCGCGGGTTCAGATTCGACCTCGCCATCCTGCGACCTGCGAAACTATTGCCACTTTCGATGGCTGCTGGGGGGGGCATCATCGTGGATACCCGCCGCGGATTCAAATTAGACATCGCCATCCCTGGGGGGCTGCGATCTGCGCAACAATCGCCACTTTCGAAGGCTGCTCACGGGGCAGCATAGTGGAGTACCCGCCGCGGATCCAGATTCGACCTCGCCATTCCTGGGAGGGGGGTGGGGCTACGATCTGCGAGTATGTCGCCACTTTTAGGGCTTGCTGAGGGTGCCAGCATAGTGGGTACCCGCCGTAGACTCAGACTATAGCTCCCCATCCCTGGGAGGCTGCGATGTGCGCAACTGTTGCCACTTTCGAGGGCTGCTGGGGGTCCAGCGGAGTGAGGTACCACCCCGACTCAGACTATACCTCGCCAGATCCTTGGGGGTTGCGATCTGGGAAACTGTCGCTACTTTTGGGCTCTGCTGAAGGGTCCAGCGGAGTGAGTCACCACCCAGACTCATCAGACCTCGCCATCCCTGAGGGTCTGCGATTTGCGAAACCGTCGCCCCTTTCGGGGGCTGCTGGGGGGGCCAGCATAGTGGGTACCCGCCGCGGACTCAGATTCGACCTCGCGATCCCTGGGAGGCTGCGATGTGCGCAACTGTTGCCACTTTCGAGGGCTGCTGGGGGTCCAGCGGAGTGAGGCACCACCCCGACTCATATCAGAACTCGCCATCCCTGGGGGGCTGCGATTTGCGAAACTGTCGCCCCTTTCGGGGGCTGCAGGGGGGGGCCAGCATAGTGGGTACCCGCCGCGGATTCAGATTCGACCTCGCCATCCATGGGGGGCTGCGACCTGCGAAACTATCGTCGCGTTCGGAGGCTGCTGGGGGGCAACATCGCGGGCGCCCGGCGCGGATTCAGATTAGACCTCGCCATGCTTAGGGGGCTGCGATCTGCGAAACCATCGCCACTTTCGAGGGCTGCTGGGGGGGCCAGCACACTGGTTACCCGACGCGGTTTCAGATTCGACCTCGCCGTTCCTGGGGGGCTGCGACCTTCAAAAATATCGTCACTTTCGAGGGCTACGGGGGAGGGCAACATCGCGGGCGCCCGCCGCGGATTCAGATTAGACCTCGCCGCCCCTGGGGCGGGGAGGGGGCTTCGATCTGCGAAAAAGTCGCCACTTTCGAAGGGTGCTGGGGGGGGCAGCGTCGTGGGTACCCGCCGCGGATGCAAATTAGATCTCGCCATTCCGGGGGGGGAGGGAGGGGGTTTGCGATCTGCGAATCTGTCGCACGTTTTGGGGTTTGCTGAGGGGGCCAACATAGTCGGTACCCGCCGTAGATTCAGACTATAGCTCGCCATCCCCGGGAGGCTGCGATGCGCGCAACTGCTGCCATTTTCGAGGGCTGGTGGGGGGCCCACAGCATGAACAAAATCATGACGTCAAGAATCTCGGCTCACAGTGAGCGCGCCGGCAAGTGAAGCCCTCCAGACATCGGGCAGGGGAGGGCTGCATGTCAGTTGCACGCTAGAGAGGGTGTTGGGTCGGAGGCTCTGGCGCCCTGGCGCAAGATCCGTGGATCGGGGACGGCCCCCCCCCCGGCACACGAGGCCAATGCAGCCCCGCAGCCCCCCTGATTCGGCGACGAAGCGCGCCGATCCTGCACAGAACGATCCTGGCGTCTCGTCCACGCGCCTCAACGCATGCTTGCCCTTCTTCGAATTCAATGAACGCCCAGGACTGCCCTTTGTCCCGCTCGCCTCGCGCCTGGCCAGGACCGTCTAGCAAACGCCAAATGATGGGGTCAGGGCGGCTTAGACTCCATTGATATATGTCCTCGGCTTTTCTTCTTCAGCGAACATAACAACTGTCGGAGGTCCGCGCGGACCTCCGAATGTTCACGCTTACGCGAGCTATTCTTCGAATAGAACAAGAAAGGAGCCAGGACGTGTTTCGTCGCTTTCCGTGCCTATCGGGGCCCCGCACGGGACCCGGGGGGTGCCGAGCAGATGCCCAGGATTGAAAGCTAGTCTGGGGGAAGAGCGTCAAGTCTGGAACCCGTTTCACTCGGCACCCCTTCGCTTCCCAGACCTCCGAGGACGTGTTTGTTTCACATCGTGGGCACCTGGCTGTCTGTATCTCTGAAACTGTCCCTGGGCAGCGCGTGGGGAAGCGCGCCACGGCTCCTCTCCCAGGGATCGAGGCTTCTAGGCTGTCTGGACTTCAAGGTCTCGAGTGCAGGCTCGATGTCTGGACAACGAGGTTCATCACATTCTCCTCATCCCCGTCCCTCCTCTTCCTCCTCCTCCCTCCTCCTCCGCCCTCCTCCCTCCTCTTTCTCCTCCTTCTCTTCGTCGTCGTCATCTCCGTTCTCAAAATGTTCCTGAGTTGAATGAATTACATGACTTGAGCAATGCCTTTATGTGTCCGCGCACTGCATCTCTTCACCATCTCAGCCAGCAAGTTGTTCGGGATGATCTGCAGGTTTTTGCAGAACAAAGGCTAAAGAACGGTGTCGTGAGCATTAAACTTGGAGCTGATCGTCATTTTCCCGACCAAGAATGGAGGCTTCCAGGGATCTTGCGAAATGCCAAAACAGTTCGTGGGCGTTTTCCATCATACCATAGAGGAGATACGGGCACACCATACACACATACATACCAGCACAATGTGAAGTACTAGATGGGGAGACGACGGATTGCTCATTATCATGTTTCGCTGACGGCATCTTTTGTAAACGGCTTCTTCCTCGTGATCTACCGGTGGAGCAGGTGATACTGAACATCGCTGAGAGTGACAACGCGATGAATGAGATCCTCAGCCAAGCGAATTTTGTGCAGAACATGACTAAGAAAGACATAGTACCCCATTTGTGTTCGACACTTGCTAATCGACAGCTTCAAGCTACCTGTCCTAAATATCATGGAG